ATAATGAGACACGTATTTTTTCTTTTGGCTCGGAAAAATTTTTCGGCGTTTAGCGATTTTGTTTTTCAGGCAAAAATCGATTATTCGAATTGACAGTGAGAATTTTTTTTTTAAATGCCCATAACTTTGTCAAAATTTAATAGATTCCAACAATGTTTTTACTCAAATGCCAGTAATTCTTGTCACTTCAAGATAGAATGACATAATTATTGATTTTCATTATTTCAAATTTTTTATTTAACAATAAACAAAAAGTGCAAATTTTTTTTAAATTTAATTTCTCAAAAAGCGTATTTTTTTTCTCTCAAACTTTTTTACCGGGATAGAGACACTTTGAACTACAATCAACCCAAATCTCTAATAGCGAAGATTTTTTTTCTGAGTTATGATTTTTTATAGAAAATATACGTTTTTGTGGGAGTGCGATATAGTGCGTTTATACGTTAGCTATTTGCGAATAAAATTATTTTGCAGATACATAACTTACTGTTTATATAACGGTGAAAACTTCTTTTCCAATATTGCTTGACTATTAAGAGGCAATAACATTACCATTAAAAAAGAAAATAAAGATATAAAATGACAATGAGATGACCATCGAAAAAGAAAATAAATTTAAGAATGCGCTTATTTACAAATAATACCACTAATCAGTACTTATTTCCTTGACTTAGTCACGGTGCGCAATAACTTACTTTTAATCAAAGGTGCTCTCACAATAAATTTTCTTTCATATCTTTAAAATTCAAAATCTTTATCAAGCCGTTTTTTGGTCATTCGATATTTTAGGTTAAAAAATTTGCTTTTTTTATGAAAATTATTGAGTAATATACAGCCAAAAATTAATAATAATGTATTATAAAATTAATATATAAAAATAAAACTATATATGTGTATGTACATATCGATGGTCCTCTGCTATAACGGCACAATTCAAAATTCAAAAAATTAAAACTTACTATTAAGTGGCTCCTATCTCTAATCCTTGTTTAATCCATGTCTAATTTTTACTACTTACTGTAGCAATCCTTACTACTTACTTAAGTAAGGATCAGACATGGATTAGACAATGATGAAAGATGTGAGCCACTTAGCAGTAGTAAGGAACTTAATTCTTTGAATTTGGAATTGTGTCGTTATTCCAGAGGCCTATCGACATGTACATTATAGCGTCTCGCTTTACAGTCAAAAACAAAATAGTTCGCCGTACACCCCCTCATATGAAGTTTTTTGAAAAGCACTTAATAAAAAAATAAAAAAAATTTTGGACAACCCTAGTAGTCGCCCAATTACCTTTTGGTTCATATCTTTGACATCTATAATCGGATTTTA